GGGGCCCCCCTGAGGTGCCCGGGGCCCCCCCCCCCGCCACGGAGCGTTCGCTGCGGGCGCGGATTTTTTAAGAAAAACCTGCCGCGTCGCGCTCAGTAGTTTGGCTTGTGTTAGCGTAGGTAGGCAGTAGTCACTCGTTACGCGGATCCTCAAGGAGAAGCGGCTATTTTGGTTGTGTAAGACCAAAACCGTGGGGAAACTTTTGAAAGGCAGTACGTGACCACCAGGAACAAAGCTGAATCGTGCCTCTTAACAGTGACGGCATCGGCTCAAATAGGGACTTAAAAAGGAGATGCAAATGAGGCAGGAATTGATCGATCCTGATTCAGGTATCTGGTGTTCAGCCCTTGAAGCCATCCCCTGGCTCGTGTCTAGGTCTCACTGGCTCTGTGATTTGACATTTCCCAGGTAGGCAACAGGCCCGGCTGGCGTGAGGCGGCCAGCATCATCTTCCAGATGATTTAGCTTCAGTCCCTCAAGTCTCTCAGACTTATTGACTCGGTGCCTAGGTAACACAAAAGTAAGCCAAGCACCAGCTTAGTTACTGCAAGGAGATTTGCTCTGCACAGCAGTGGCCTTATTTTGCATTCAAGGCTCTGCAGGGTGCAGCGCTAGTTTGACAGACCTGCACCCCTGCAGGAAAGGGCAGTCGGTCCTGCTACCCGCAGGGTCAGCGCGAGCCAAAAGGCAGCTGCTACTGTGGCTGGGAGGGCACAAGCCCACCCATTTCAGCAGTAGTGTGGTCTTACACCAAGTGCAAGCTGAACTTTACCTACGCCGCATCAGTTTGCATTTGTTATCCCAGATTCAGATGCCAGCAGGCTGTTACACTTAAGTTATCTTGCTTTGCATTTTTCTTAAAAAAATATATAACCAAAATGTGGAAAGCAGATGTATCAGCCTATCTTGGTAACTTGGTGCTGGGCATTCATGGTTTCTCATTTCTCCTTTTCAGTTCTAGGTCCTAGTTCTTATATGCCTTTGCAGAAGATTTTCTGAAGCTGTAGTTCTTGTAGTTCTGTAAGGTGCAGTGAGCTCATCTAACCGCTCAGTGTGCTCAGAATGAGGCTTTTACTGCTTTCGTTCTGCTAGTAGTAGCATTGATAAGATCCTTCCATGAGCTGCTGTAAATCATTGAAATAGCATAAAGCTATCATGACATGATTTTCTACTGGGTTGCCAGAGCGGCCCACAGAAGGATTCAGTGAACACCTAAAGCTGCGTAAGGAAACAAAGTAGTTTTCCCAATTTTCACTTGCATGTCAGTCTGTGAAAGGCATTCAGCTTCCTGTGAATCTGTAGCTTGTATTTGGTTATCACAACTGCGAGGAAGCCCAGAAAACACTGTGATGATAGGGCTGCACATATGAGTAACCTGAATACAGTCTGTGATGCAATTTTTAAAAAAAAAAAGTAAATTCAGGTCACATTATTTAATGGTGGCTGTAACTAAGGAGCTCAGACAAATTTAGGTAAAACTAATCTAGTTAGAAAAACAGTGCATTTAATTATTCAACTTAAAATATGTTGGGTAAAGTAACTGTTGATTTATCTTTCTTATCAGATTTCAGATACACAATGCAGAAGAGGTTTCCATCAATTCTGGAAGGTAGGTTTGTAGTTGTTGGCTTCAGAAGGATGGCTGAAGCTTCTGTTGCATCTTATGTATAAAACAGATTTCATTATTGCTTAAAACTTACCCCAGGAGACAGTGCAGAAGCATTTATTGTTATGCATAGGCGTGGCTGGAGTGTCAGACTGTCGAGTCCTCAGAACCGGAGGACTATACATCCAACAAAACTAGCCACAAAGGGGCTCACCCTCAGACATGCCTAACTTACAGCTGACATGGATTTTCCTATTTTTCAGTGTATTACAAATCCAATGAGTGGTCTGGAATTCACGGCATAAGGGAGAATGACCAAATGACATGGTTAAGCAGCAAGAACTGAAGTAAGAAAGATGTGTGATTAATTAAAAAATATTTTAGAATAATTATTGTAAAAATGTCCACATTAAAATGTCCAGTTCATCTTTTTGATTTCTTGCCTCTGTACTTGTTTTTCAGCCCTCTGTGCCTGAACTGTTTCTTCTTTTTGATGATGCTTTTCACATCCCTATTGTGAAGCCACTTGTCACGTTCTATTTCCCACTGGATCTGTTTGACATCTGTAAGAGGAAAGGTGAGAAATAAGGAGCCGATGGATACCTCTGACCGTGATGTGGAATACAGATGAATCACGTAAAAGTTAAAACTCGGCTACTGTATTTATAAATTTTAATAAAGAGCAAGCTGCCAATTTTTTTTGACACCAGAGAAAGTTTTGGGTTTTTCATTTTACAAAAGATACCCTACCATCTCAGGATCTCAGAGTTTAAGACCGCTCTTGCCATCACTTTGTATTTTACTAATGCTAGACACACTTGTGTTAGGAGTACACAGTGTTTGAGTACTGTTGTTAACATTTTTCAGGCGACACCAGCAAGACTTGTAAAAGCTCTACAAAGGACTGACTGTTCAATCAGTATATACACATTTAATTCATTAGAATTATTTCTGTGAAACTACTTTTGCTTCACCGATACTGCAAGAAGTACTCCGGTAGGTAGGTAAAGACAGCCATGCCTTATGCCTTCCCTTCACGAGAATCCAGGACACTCTATCAGAGCAAAATTCACACGAATGTTTGACAAACAGCATACTGCCCCTCCTCATTTACAGTGTGAAAGGGCCACACGATAGCTGCTTCTCCTTTTCTGAAGCCTTATTCACTCCAGTAGTCACAGTTAATATTAGCACTGGGCATCTCTCGTAACTGAAGCAAACTAAGTCATGTCTTACTGATGCGGAGCTACTGTCCCTACTGTGTGATTTCTGACCGTGTGTGCGTTTCAGTGAAAGAAGGTACATCTTTTTAAGTACGGAATCTGAAGAGAAAGAAGTAAAACAGCATTACAACTGTCTGCTATTTGCAGCGTGTACTTACTTGCATTATCTCTGTTGGCCATGGCGTTCATTCCGATATTGTCAAACTTAGACCCAGCATTTTCATCGAGCAGATAGCCAAACTTTAAAGAGAGAAATTTTAGGATTTTATTACAAAGAAACAGGTAAAATGCTTGATCACTTTATGCTAAGCACTGATCAAACTCACCTCTTCTGCAGATGCTAGTATACTGGCATCTTTGAGTTTCCTCTTCTTTCCTCAGTTGGATCCTTCAAACAAAAAGTATTATTCTTATGAGACAGAATTTCAAGTTCACAAAGACACTAAAACAAAGTGTTACCATTGTTTTATTTATTTATTTATTTATTTAATGACACCATCTAAAATAGCTGTGTTAGAAACCTTTATTCTCCACCTCCCCTAAAAAAAGGAAAAAAAAGTTTCCAGCCAAGAACTAAATAGCACAAATCTGTGCATCAGGTGTTAGTAATAGATGCACAAACCAACAGTACAACTCCGTCCTTCCTTCAATTCCCAGTCCTTCAACAGCAGATTGGCACTCTGAATTAGGCCACACTGGTTGGAGGACAACCTCCTTTTCATTTATGGTTTATTGAAATCCAAACCCAGACCCAAAAGTGTAGATAATCTACTGTACTAAAACCCTCTGAGTCCAAAGTTTTCCAGACTCTGTATTTGTATTAAGCCTTCTCAAATGGAAATCATGGCAGTGTTTCCTTACCTTCAAGTGATCCCACAAAAGTCATATCTTTCTTTCTCTTGCCCTTTTTACTGACAGACTTCAATTGATTGTCATTGTTCGGGTCTGACAGAAAGAAGAAAAAAAAGATACATCAGTCCTTCATTCTCACACCATGTGCATGTATTCAAAAGCACAGCAGAGACTAAAATTACTTTTTAGGCATATTTGTCATAATGGTCAGAGTCTTTACTTTAAAAAAGTTTAAAACACAGTGCGCACAACCAAATCTGGGATTTCTTCAACCCAGACAATTAACAGTTGGTCAGTGGTGTGCCATTCTTTATGCTTTTTTCCCACAGCACCAAAAAGGAATGAAATATGATACTAAGATACATAAAATACTAAGGCTAAAAGCAGGTGTTATGTAAACCCTGAATGTCTGCTTGGTAAGTTTGGTGAAATAATAATCTCATGAAAGGGGTGTTGGTCGACAGCCGGCTGAACATGAGCCGGCAGTGTGCCCAGGCGGCCAAGAAGGCCAATGGCATCCTGGCCTGTATCAGAAATAGTGGGGCCAGCAGGACGAGGGAAGTGATCGTGCCCCTGTACTCGGCACTGGTGAGGCCGCACCTCAAATACTGTGTTCAGTTTTGGGCCCCTCACTACAAGAAGGACATCGAGGTGCTGGAGCGTGTCCAGAGAAGGGCAACGAGGCTGGTGAGGGGTCTGGAGAACAAGTCGTATGAGGAGCGGCTGAGGGACCTGGGGTTGTTTAGCCTGGAGAAAAGGAGGCTGAGGGGAGACCTCATCGCTCCCTACAACTACCCGAAAGGAGGTTGTAGCGAGGTGGGTGTTGGTCTCTTTTCCCAAGTAACTAGCGATAGGACGAGAGGAAATGGCCTCAAGTTGCGCCAGGGGAGCTTTAGACTGGACGCGAGGAAAAATGTCTTTACTGAAAGAGTGGTTACACATTGGAACAGGCTGCCCAGGGAAGGGGTTGAGTCACCATCCCTGGAGGTATTTCAAAGACGTGTAGATGAGGCGCTTAGGGACATGGTTCAGTGGACATGGTGGTGTTGGGTTGACGGTTGGACTCGATGATCTTGGAGGTCTCTTCCAACCTTAATGATTCTATGAAAGATTAATGTGTCAACAGCTGTATGAATAGTTTACCGCCCCTACTCTCAATCATCTTCCTGTGACCTTAAGTTATTATTTGAAATACTCCATTAATCTGTGCTTTTCCAGCCACATAAAGCGTATATTGTGTAAACTGTGCTTTTCAGTTGGAAAGATAATAAAACCATGCAAGTGCAACAATCAGTTACTATTACAGTAGTAATAAAAATTTGGGTGCACAGCTGTACTAGAAGAGTAAGCTGTTACTTATGAGACAGCAATTTAAATAAAAGTTACCTCATCTAAAAAAAAAAAAAAATCAACATTAACTAGGTCTAAAGAAATAAAAAAATTACCAAGTACCATACTTTTTTCTTTTTATTTTTCTCTTTGAGATGTTTTAATGTTTCTGCCTACTGTAGCCAGTTATTTGTGTATAAAGCTACTTTTGTTACTGTCAGTGTTTTCGGAATGGAAGAAACATGTCTTGTGTGTGAGTTTTTATACCCAAACGCCTAATTCCCACTCTCACCTAGGAGACTGTGCCAGGAGATGTTTCTCTTAAGACTTCATTGTCCAGAGGAGGACTTATTGTCACTTCTTCACTTAAAAGCCAAACCTCCCACCTAGGTAACTAAATCTGAATTTATATATGTAATTACATATTAGATAACCTATTTTTAAAGCTTTTTCTTCTAGTTTTTTGATAATAAATGGTACTTTACCTAGGCTGTTATCATCATCAGACACATCCATAAATACACCTCCCTCTTCGTCCATATCCCCTCCGAAGTCTTCCTCCATACTTCCTAAGGAGACTTCCTCATCATCCAGATCACTGAATTCATCTTCATCATCAGAATCCTCCCAGTCAGCTCTGGATTCCTCACTTCTTTGGCCTTTCTTACCATCTTTGGTTTTCTTTTTTATATTACTAAAAAAATATGTAACAAGCTTAGCACTTCATCTGGCAAAATACTGTTTGCATCCAGATAACATCTATCTACCCGCAAACACTGTTAGAAAAGTTCAACATCATTGCAAACTACTGTAAATGTAGGCTGAGACCTAAGAAACATGTATTATGCACTCAGGTATGTTTTCATCATCAGCATATGGAACTGTATTATAAAAGTCAACCATTTTAAGAAGTTCTGGAGAGAATCCTATTCTGAAATTAACAGAAATGTCAGCTTCAGTATTTTATCTCCTACGTGCCTTTGCTCCTTTTAAGAAAGTCTTTTCTGTAAAACACACCAACTGCTGGTATCCCTAGCAACTCTACTAAATGAAGAAATAAGACTTTTTTTTTTTTTCTTAAGAAAGGAAACATGGTTCTTCATGTACTGGATGGTTACTTGTTTTTTGTCTCCTCTTTGCTATTTTTTACTCACACCAGTCTGGATCACAAAAATGTTCAAGTTTCACTAGAAGTTTAAGCTTTAATTCTCCTTTCGCCTCAAGAAAAAAAGTTTCTGTGCTGATTCGAAAGCTGTATTGCAGATACTTTAAGTTAAAAAGAGGCTACTTAATCATTCACAGTTGGACTCAATGATCTTAAAGGTCTTTTCCAACCTAAATGATTCTGTGATTCTATGATTAATGAAACTGCTGACTTTCTGAGAATTGAGCTCTGTGATTCCGGATTCCACAAAGTTTATTTACTGCGTTAGGTCCAGTTACAACCAGTCCTTACAGCAGCAGTACCATTATGCCTCATCCTGCTTACTTGTCTTGGTAATTCTCAAACAGAAACCTCAGACAATTAAAAACAAGTAAGATTCTTACCTTGCTTACTGGGTCACTGCACTGTATAAATAAAATACTGCAGGTCTCACATGTCAAGCCAGCAGACTGTAAGCACCACAGGATCATGATGCTCCATTATGGCACACGCAGAAAAGCAGCATTACCCAGTGTTCAGCTGCTATTGCCTTTTTTGCAAGGTGATATTCCGAGTCTTTTTGCAAAAGGTCTATGCAACGTTGCAGAGTAAAACTCTATATGGGTATTAAAGCAAGATATGAAAGAACCAATTTAAAGTCTTACCCAGCAAAATCAAGGTCATCCTGGCCAACATCAATGGCATTATCAGCAGCTTCAAATGTATCTAGGGGGGGAAAAAATGTTTATTACTACAAAACAGAGTCAAAGAAAGAAATATGAAGTCATTGCAAAATATATTATTTTTAGGTATCATTTTCCTGAACAGTTTGTATGATCTGCATCAGTAACAAAGGGCCCTGATACCAAAGGGTTCGTACTCCTATAGAAAAACACTCCACAAAACAGTTACCTAAAGCTAACTGGACTTTTTCAATGAAAATTATTCTTTGAAAAATAATGAAAGTTTTCTTTTATCCAGGATGTAATTTCTGGCCAGAACTAGATGATGTGGGAAGCAGACGGGCACAAATGGAAACACAGTTGCCCAATGATTCAAACTTAGTTGGCAGGTGGGATATCACAAGTCTCAAACACTTGCTCCGAGTCAGATAAAACAAAGACTCAATTAAGATACCCCAGGCAAGTGTCCTGCCAGCTAATCTGTATGTTAATTTTCACATTAGAAGTATTCACTATAATTTTTGACAGAAAAGCAAGCAGACTAGAGGATGAAAGCTCCCATCATCGGATTCGCTTAGGAACAAATTGCTATACAAAATAGCAGGTAAAAACAAAATCTGAAAAATTACAACTGTTCTGTTTCAAAGAGTAAATGCTAACATTAGAGGGTCCTTAATTTAAGCTTCTGAATTTATGAAGCAAATTCTCAGAGACAGTCAACTTATTAGAGATACTAACCATAAAACGACAAACACAACTAGTAACAGATTCTTGTCGTAACTAAGACCATACTAATTGTGTCACTAAGGAAGAATCCTGCTATGGCAGTTCATAATTCTATAAAAAGGATAAATTAAAAATTTGCAAAAGCAGGAAATATTGGGATAGTTACTGCAACAAAAAAACACAACCTTACCCAATGCTCTTTCAAATTCATCATCATCTACATCTTCCACACTTTCTTCATCATCCTGACGCTTTTGCTTCTCTCTCCTCTTATCGAACTTTGAATAAAATCTGAAATAATACATTGGTCTCAGACACAAAATTACAGGTGATGATCTTTATGACAAGTTTTTTAAAAAAAACAACCTGCAGATTGTTTCACGTGTATGTTGCCAGTTGAAAATTGTAAGTAATGGTTTCAAACACATCTCAAATCAGAGATTTGTATTTTCTTTGTTTTTCAAAGAGTAAGCCACTACTGTAAGATTTAAAACAAAGAAATTTCACAGCCAAAGGTGCCAGAAATTATTTTCAACATAGTGAATTTATAAAAGGGCACAAGAAAGATGTGAAAATCTGCCTTATACTGATAAGGAAGAAAGGATCAAGTTCAACTTGAATCTAATTGGGGAAAAAAAAATATATAAAAGAGATTCACCCATTAAGTTCTGTTAAATTTTCCCCCGTAGCCCTCTTCTGTTGTGTGCTTCGTTTTACCTTGTGTCGGCCACTTTAAACCACTTTCTCTTCTTCATTTAATATTAAAGAACCACCAAACACAGAAGGCAATTTTGATCATATACAAGAGCAAAAGAGTACAGCACTACATATGGAAGAGTTTAAACATGTAATCTCAGTTTCAGTCATCTTCAATGTAACAACACTGTTAACTTTTCAGACAGGGGCATGTTTTTAAGCTGCTTTTCTTTAATCTCAAAATTAATACCACTATTTTATTAATATTATATTCCTCAATATTATAATATCAATTAATTAAAATTAGTAAGTTCCATTAACCTGATACTTCAAAAATTTTTAAAAGCCCCTACAGCAATGAATATATTAAACAAAAAAACCCCCCGAAGTTAATTAAACAAAATAAATGAAGTTAATTCAAACACTGATTTCCTAAGGAGACGCTCACAGGTAACCAGTATTTTGATCTAATAAGAACAAATCTTTGCCAAATGTGTATCGCTTCAATTCTAGTGTTACAGCTGCATTTTTATATCATAATCTGAAAGGAAAGCCAACTAAACGGAAAGAACTATGAATAATAAAAATATAAATACACAGAAAACTAGCTCCTCTGACTTATTTTGCATTGTTCCATTCTAACAATCTTTGATGCTAATAACATAAACAAGGTATATTCCAGGTTTTTTTAAATATACTTCTAACGCATAAGAATTACAACCCACAAGACATTCATCATTGCCCGTTGTTTAAGGCTTCTCTATTACAATGTCAACTTACTTAATATTAGACTACAAGCACTGATTGCTTTTGTTCATAAGTGATATTCTTTCCTAAGCACTTTTGACAAATGTTGAAATTACATTCTAAGGGAAGTACTGTCATCACAAGTCACTCATATTAATCAAATTTTGCAAACACTTGGAATACCAGGGAATGAAACTTATGAAACATAATGGGGTTTGATGGCATTGCATTAAAAAACACCACAAGTATTTCATTACCTGTGAAAAAACACTTCATCCACTGGGATTTTGCTTTCATCTTTGGCACGGAATTCCTTACTGTTGACTGCAAAAACAAAAAAAGAACTCATTTTACCTCAAGTTGAAATGATTGTTATTCTTTTAAAAGATTAAACGGCGTGCACAGACAGAAGTATGCAGATACCCAGTGTCATCCGTTAAATAAAGTGGAGCTCATCTCAAAACCTCTTCAAACTAACAGTTCTCAGTGATATATACTGATACTTAGATGTGAGCAGACCCTATGGAAAACCTCCAGAGGCATAGCCCTAACCAGGTCCTAATTTATATATCAACAAGGCAGCAGGAGCCTGTGACAAGCAGGAAGCAATTTAAAAAAAAAAAAAAAAAAAGTAGGAAATAAGATAAAACTCGCTGTCATGCACTAGAACACCAGAACTGCTTCTACCCAGCACTCCTGGCAGTAGAAACGCTCGTCAGCAGCTGCAAGGCAGGACCACACACCAGCTGAGCACACTGAAGAAGGGATCAAGCCTCACCCCGCCTCCATTTCTGAGGAACTGAGGCAAAATGTGACACTGCAACAGCAGATCAACTAGGGTATTGATCAGGTTCCCTGTGGAGAAGCTTTTTAACCCCACACCTTCCCCTTCGCTCCTCCACCTCAGAAGTAAATCAAAGGAGAAAGAGCTCCTGATTATCTCAGCGGGCACAGATTCTAATATTTTCTAAGTGACAAGGGTCCAAGTTTGTGAAACCAGATCAGCATACTCACAGAAGGACTCTTCAAATGGATAGAAGGTACCAGAGGATTTGCAGTTTCAGTTCTCTAAGCCTCAGCAGAGACCAGCTACATGCAACAAGTGCAGATTTTTGTATCCATATTAATATACCCATATTTTTGTATGAGGTGTTTCATTTGTAGAACACTTAAATTCCTCAAATCCAGTTCTAAATGCTCAGTCTGCTCCTTCAACTCAGAATAAACTAAAGAATGCGATAAACTGTACCTTCAAATGCATTCTAGGTAAAAATTCCTACTTTAAGCTTTAATAGCCATAAAACCATGCATCAGTAAAGGTACATCAGCTAATCTGTATAACTAAAACCTCTGTGCAACACAGCAGACCCAAAGTTAGAGCAAAGCACATCCCTGGGAATGTTACAGAGACTCTACCACAGAAGATGGTACCTCTTCCGTCCTCAAGCAGCATGTTTTACTGATGGTTTACCCTGATTTTTTAACTGCTGGTTCTTACCACCAAATCCTGCCCTTAATCATTTGAAACAGTGGGACTAGACAAAAGGCAGCCTCTTTCTGGAGGCAGGAAGACTCTTAGCAAAATAACAGTGCCAAAGATACCTTACACTAATCCTAACAATAGCTGAAGCTGTGGCATTGTATGGATTAATCCATACCATTTAATGAAAGAGCTTAATGTGTATTAAATCATTATATAAATCAATTTTCTGAGATTTTAAGTCAGTTTTCAATCATAATAAGCAGAATAAAAGTGGTTGTATGATAACTTGGAAACAAATAAAAACATTAACTGCACAATACTACTACATTAACTACTACTAGATCAGCATACATTTTAAAGATTTTTATATAACAATAGATATTTTTAAGAACTTTAAAAAACATTATTTGTAAAACTAGGATGCCAGACATAAGAATGGCATGTTTGTGAGCAGAAAAAGTTAGTATTTTATAAATTCATGTCCCTCTGAGGTTAGTACCCTAACAGATTGCTCTTCTAACTAGAAATACCATTAGCTGGAATAAATTCTAAGGCTTTTTTTAGCCTTTTTTCCCATCTAAGGGGTCACATTGCCAGCTACAAGCAAATTTGTAACAATGTTCTAAACTTTTTATACAAGATTGCATATTTACTCTATGCAGGGGGTGTATTTCCTTTTAGGGGGATGCAGGAAAAAGATAACTTAGCATTAGAGAAGGTATGGGAAGCATATGCAGGTCATAGCAAAAATAGCACAGAAAACAAGGCATGCAGTTGTCCATAGCTCTGTCCTTTGCTGTTACACATTTCTTAATGGGATGGCTAAACAGAAGGTATGATCTTCATCATGCATTGCCTAAGAAAAAGGAATTACTACAATAGAAAGTAATTGACAACTAAGAAGGGAAAAACAGAGAGAAAAGAAAGGTCTTAAAAAAAACGTGGTGTGTAGCCAAGTGCTACAGCAGAAGACAAAGTGTTTTCCTACTCAGGAGGCTAACAGTTGAGGTAACTGACTTTCTCTGTGTCATTTGTTTTTAAAATGATTCAATGGATCCAAAGTTTCAGCTGTGGAGATTCCATGCACCCTTACAAGAAGATTAGACCTGATCCTGAACATCAGGCACCACCACTGCACACCTGACGGACAGGACTTTCTTTTATCGCTAACAGAAATAGTATAGACAGCACAGATGACACGTCTACAACAACCAGCCAAGAATTTTTTAGCCGTAACAATCTCAACTGAAAAGGGGCTGGCTTACCTGCAAAATTCTGCATATCTTTCATGAACTGCTTCTTCTTCGGCTGCATTACCACACTGCTGGTGTTCTCTGTAGCAGAACATAAATCAGAAACAAATTACTTTATTACTATTGATACAAAACTGTGAGGAGTGGCTGATACACCAGAGCGTTTCCGTAAGGACCTCAAGAGGCTGGAGAAATGGGCTGACGGGAGCCTCGTGCAGTTCAACAAGGGGAAGTGCAAAGTCCTGCACCTGGGCAGGAACAATCCCATGCACCACTATATGTTGGGGGCTGCCCAGCTGGAAAGCAGCTTGGCAGAAAAGACCCTGGGTGTCCTGGTGGACACCAAGTTGACCGTGAGGCAGCAGCGTGCCCTTGCAGCAAAAAAGGCTGACGGTATCCTTGGCTGCATTAGGTGGAGTGTTGCCAGCAAGTGGAGGGAGGTGATCCTTCCCCTCTACTCAGCACTTGTGGGACCACACCTGGAGTGCTGTGTCCAGGTCTGGGCTCCCCAGTACAAGGCAGACATGGGCATACTGAAGAGAGTCCAGCGAAGGGCCACTAAGATGATGAAAGGACTGGAGCGTCTCTCCTGTGAGGAAAGGTTGAGAGCGCTATGATTGTTCGGATTGGAGAAGAGGAGGCTCGGGGGGATCTCATCAACGTATACAAATACCTGAAGGGAGTGTGTAAAGAAGACAGAGCCAGGCACTTTTCAGTGGTGCCCATGACAGGGCAAGAGGTGATGGGCACAAACTGAAACACAGGAGGCTCCGTCTGAACATCAGGAAACACTTTTTCACTATGAAGGCGACTGTGCGCTGGCACAGGTTGCCCAGAGAGGCAGTGGAGTGTCCATTCTTGGAGACATTCAAAAGCCATCTGGACAGCCTGGGCAGCTGGCTCTAGGTGGCCCTGCTTGAGCAGATGACCTCCAGAGGTCCCTTCCAACCTCAACCATTCTGTAGTCTTTACATTCCCCTATCACTTTGCTTATTCCTGCTAGGTTAGCAATTTCTGCACTGCGGATGTGAGAGGCAGCAGTATGTGATTGTCAGCTGGTTCTGAGTTGCAGACAGCTCTCTTGCAGCCCTGAAGACTGATCCCACTCCTTTGTTGCACCACGTGCACCCCAAATACTTGACAAGCACAAAGGGTTACTTGGCAATCTGAGAGAAAAAGACTTCAGTCACCATCAATAATCAAGATCATATGCTAACACATACAGAGAAGTTCGTACCTTTGCCTTTATGGAGTTTGGGATTTCTGTACACAAAGCGATCCAAGAATCTCATTAATGTGAAATCCTGCAAAGGGTCACCGGAGTACTGAATGTGATTTCCCTGAAAGAAGAAAAAAGCCAAAAATCATTAAGGTCTTCATTTTAGAAAGACAGCAGCTAAACACAGAGGACTCAAACAGTCCAAGAACAACCTTAAACCACACTTGGAAAAGACAAAGACTTGGGGATACTTCATCACAGAAGCCTGACCAGTTAATACACTCCTGTACAGGTTCTTGTTCTTGGAATTTCAGTATTTTCTTAACTAAAAAACACCTCCTTCACTTTGTTTCAGTGATGAACTGCCTTGCAATGTACTGTGCTAACAGCAGTTAATACTCAGCACTATTTGGATACCATATATTCAAATGAAAATAAGTATTTTTAAAATATATTTGTGTAGGTTTGAGTATTTTTGGCAGGATACCACAACAGCATTAAAAAAGAATTTGTTCCAACAGCAGGGTTCCTCACATAAAAAACCCACGTTAAATAAAAAGATAGACCAAAACTCTAAAAAAACTGTAAGAATCATGTAATACCCACATTTCTACCAAGTTAATTACTTCTGTGAGCAGTCTCCTTTACATGAAACACTTTCATTCCATGAAAAGCTTTGCATGTGAGTATGTTACAGTGTTGCAGAGCTGCTAGTTACCTGCAGAGTGCAAGGAGGCTTTATAATGTATTTTTTCAAATGGCAAAAGACAGCTAACATAAAAATGAAACTTCAAAGCTACAGACTAGTAAAAGCACTTACTTCTAGAATTGTTTTTGCGAATAGGGCCACAGATGGATGAAAATGTTCAGAAAGCTGAAAAACATGAATCAGTTATTTCTACTTTAAAAATAAATGCAATCATTACTCATGTTGACATCTCAGAGTCTTGACAACACCACTATATCATAAGACCACTCTGTAACTCACCAAATAACGCGCAGATGCATGTAGTAGTGCAAGGCTGATGTGCTCTGCCCTTGAACAACTGAAGAACCTCAAGCTCTAATCTTTTGTTTGCGTTAACTAAATACATTCTCACGTACAATTTTAATTAACTCAACACTAAAGAGCTTTAGTGATACAAAGCTAAGATCCAAAAGTCAAAAAAATATTATTATTGTCCAAATCTCCACTTAAAAATTCCTATTCCCTACTCCGGAATATCAGCATTGTATGTAACATATACAAGCTTAAAGCTGAACAATGTGTCAGCTTTAACCTTTCTGTTATGTTACCCAGGTAGCTACTCCAAGAATAACCAAGTTAATTTTCTTCTCTCAATACAAGGGCCACACTAAGAAACACAGTAATCAGCAACGTACCCTTAATCAGCCTTACCTTCTTCAGTTCCCAAAGGCTTGTACTTTCAGCATGACAGTATAAAGGACTTCGGTGCATAGGATCATATGAAGCTCCACTCTTCCTGCCTGAGGGGCGGAGGAGATGAAAACAACTTAAATTTCCTCAGGCAACTTCATGAGTATTATTTTCATTTCACCACGACAGCAATGCTGCCCATCATTCTTAGCTGGACAGGCCACAGATCCATTCAGCAGCAAGTAAGGGTTATATTCAGCTGCCCTTCCCCAGTGTATGATCAAGTGCACAGGTGAGCTCCTACGTGCTTCCAAGGAAGGTCCTGAAAACCCCTGCTCTGTTCCAAAAGGTCCTGAAGAAAGAGCGAAACTAGAAGCAGGTTCAAAGCTAGATGAATTGTTCTAGCAAGCTTCACAAGCAAATGAGCAGTTACACATCCTAACCTTGGCTACACTGCTCTGAAGGTGTTTGAACGTGGAAGCAAAAAATCCCATGCCTGTTTATTGCTTAGGCGCAAATGCAATAAACTGCATAAAGTGAAATACGCTAGCAGATTCATACAGTCTCTTCATCGCTGCTGAGCTAACATAAAGAAAAACGATTCTGACTGATTGCTTTGAATCAAACGTCAATTTGAAAGCCTAAAATAATGTTTTAATCACTTAATTTTACAACAAGTCTTGATCAACACGTCACTGTTACGGAAAGTTAGAAGTTAAATGAATCATATTTTCTTGCTAATTTACCTCCCATATTCAGATGATGCACCCACGAGGCTGTTGAATTTGAATCTTTTTTTTTAGCAGAATTTTCCATTGTGCTCCTCTCTTCACTTTCTACTTCTTTGTCTGCATCCACAATTTTTTCCTCATCTTCTTCAGCCTCTTCTTGATCCTTAAAGCACTCTTCATCATCTGACTCCTAAACAACAAAAAATGTTAGCGAACCGCTTTTCCTTTCCAGTTTTATTCAGATTTATTAGAAAATGCACATACAGTTCTTAAGAAGCTACTTACAAAAACATAAACAAATGATGGCCGAAGTTTAAGCAATACATATTTTTGGCCTTGATACTTAAAGGACTTAAAATTGAACTTTACAGCTTACATCACACAAGTATAATGGTCCCTCCCCGCCTGAAGAAAGAAAAAAAAATCCAGTCCTGCCTAGCTATACTTCAGAGACTTCAGAAGAAACAAACAGGCCACATTTTGACAAAGCTTTTGGGTGAAGAATGTTCACCTGCTTACTTATAGAGCATTTAGCAAAATAATCCTCTCTCCATGAATGAAGTCCCTAGGGCCCGCTAGAATGCTTAAACCACCTTAATCTATGCAGATTTTTAATATAGTTATAACTGTTCAAGTGCTTTCTCCCATAACATAACATATTAGCAAACCCTCAGGTTACTAATAAACAGGTTAGGGAAAGGTGTTTATGAAAATAGCTTTTATCGAAAAAACAATGAGATAAAGAAACCATCTTATACCACGTGATCCTGTAACTGGACCCTTAACTCTGGTTTTACTTTCAGAAGCTCAGACAGAAGGTACAGGGTTCCACAAATGAAGGGTGGCATCTGCCCACAAGTGACTTGAAGTAACCTCTTCACAAAGGCCTTCACGCGCCGTAACACTACATCTGCCTTCAGAGATTTATAGACGAGATTCAGAAACATGGATGGCTTTGAGCAGGTTGCTAAAGCAGGATCTAGAAGCTTCCTGTAGAAAACACAGGAGAGAATATTGCTGATTGTCATAATGCACATAGGAGAGTAATTGCTATTAACAACAATCATCTACATTTTTCAGAGTGCCATCTAAAAGACCAGTGACAGCTTGTTCCCCAATACTCAAAACCATTATGATCAACCCTGAACTGTCAACAGCTGTGTAATATTTCTAGATACATGAGACACTGAAGATTAAAAAAAGCCTGTATCAGTAAACAAAAAAAACTGTAAGAAAATATAAAGAAACTGAGTTCAACTGAAAACAGTTTCAAAATTTGAGATATTCAAAGTGAGAAATTAATCCGATTTATTAAGATGTTCAAAAAATAGAAAGAAAATGGTTAGCAATCGGCATGCTTCACAATCAGACCAGACACATGTGTTGGCAAGTTCATCTTCTACTCCACTTTTTTTCCAGGCTGCCAGGCACAGGAAGGCCCCTAAATACGTTGCATGTTCTGGGGGAACTTGAGTTCCCTTTTTAAAAAAATCAGCAACTTCCCTTTGGTCTACTAAACAGAAGCCTATAAGGATCCTACAAAGAGTCTAAACAATCAGCTGTGACAAAAAAGAGATATTTCTATAATACAAGGCTTTCCAAGTACACAAATTAAATCATCTACAGAATTTGTTAACATAATATTCTCCCACACCCCCATGAAAAAAGGAAACAAGATTTTAGGCTATTGCGTGACTAAACCACGGTACCTGTAAAAGGGATTTCAGAAGAAGTAGCTATCTAATAATTTCAAGTAATAGCTGGAATTAAAACATGACACTGGAAAACAGTGCAAATGATGAAATGCACATGTTGTGTTCTCAGGACCTATCACTACCATTTCTTTTATCCCCACGTTAAGCCAATGAAATCACATGCTTTTTCTTCTAGCTCGTACAAAACGTCAGAAACTTTTAGCCAATCAGACGCAAAACTTGCAAGATCTTAAAAGCACAATAAGTGTTTCTACAACTTTAAATTAATGGTGACAACCTCAAAAAATGAAATTTATATTAAAAAAATGCAAACCTGTCACTTACTTGTAGAGTGCTGCGTAGTACCTATCAGATACAGTCTGCTGAGAGTCCATCACTTGAAACAGTAACATCAGGGCCTGGACACTGGTACCGAAGTTCACAAGATGCAGAACTTTAAACAACGTGTCCATTTGTTCTTTCACTTTCTCATCACCAGTCTCAGCATAAGGGTAAGCTCTGTTTACCCCGCAAAGAAGAGCGCTGAGCATTTTGGATTCAACGTCTTTTTTCTTAATGCAGTTCCGAAAAAAGCAAAAGTACAAAGTGATCAGTTTGCTAGCCAACGCACTTTCTTCATGACTGAGGACTATCTGATTTAGAAAGCAAATGGCATAATATTGAGTTTTCACATGAATGTTTGAGCGGTACAAAAGCCTCTCCACCTCACTGCACACTACTCCCTTCATATTTGGATGCTTGTGAAGCAACATCTCTAAAAGATAAGAGGCTTTGGTGGCAATTTTGTTCTGAGGGTCTCCCAGTTTATTTACCAGCTGAACAAGCAGAACTTTCTCCTGCTCCGGCTTGTTACAGAGAAGCTCGTGGGCAACTGCCAGCGCTCGGGATTTCGTTGCCGTCACAGAATCATGACTCAGTGTTTCTAACGCTTGCACGAACTCTGCCACCTGCAGTTTCAGGTGATGCTCAAAGTACCACAGTATCAACCGTCTGTCTCTTGAATCCCTATTGCCACTCGACATCTTCTCTATGTTGTTACACGGCCGCTGCGAGAAAGACCATAATTTTCGATTGTCTGGTAAGAGATCTGAAATGAGAAGCTCCTTGAATGTATCCAGAGCCATAAGGCTCTGATGCCTGCTGCCCTTTTTCTTTATGAGGTTTACCAAGTTCTCAACAAACTGGAGACTGTGGACAGCGCTGTCCTGAATGAGGAGAGTCATCGCTGCCATCCTGTCAGCCAAGGTACCCGACGACACAACAGTTTTCATCCATGCCGAAGAGGCCCCCTTCTGATGATCTGTCTTATTCTTATACAGATCTATCTCATGATGGTACAGCTTTTGGGCCAAGGCCTTATACTTGGACAGAAGCGTCTGATTTTGTGGCTCTGAGGAGAATTCGTTGGTGTAGTCCAGATCGTACCATTTGCCCCCTGGTTTGATCAGTATCACTTGCCTAGCATGAAATTCAAAGTCTTCTTCCAGCCTATCTTTCTTTGCTGAAAGGTGCTGGTCCTGATCACCACCAGGTTGCTTTTTCTTGCTGTCTTTCACACCGCTTGCCTTTTCCTTGACTTTTTTTTCTTTTTTCCCTTCTAACGAAGGAGGATTAGTTTCTTTCTTGCTTTGCTCTTTCTTTGGGGGCTTCTCTTTCTCCTCGCTGCCGCCGCCGTCCTCCTCCCCCTCCTCCACCACCAGGCAACTTTTCGCATACTTGCCGAGCCCCAGGGAGCGGACGAACGCCTCCAGCTCCCCTTCCTTCAGGTCGTCGATCGCGTCCTTCTTGCCGCCGTCCACCATCTCCTCCGCCTCGTCCACGGCGCACAGCATCAGGTAGTCTTGCTGCGGGCGGCAGCGCACGGCCGTTACA